CCAGGGGGGGCGAACGCCCCCTCCGCCCCTATGCGCTTAGCGCCTCTGGCGCCCGTTGAAAAAAATAGAAAAACTAAATTTAACGCAAAAACAAACGGTGCCTTACCGTGCCCTTAACTCTTCAAGATAAAAAAATGACGTATATATTTCTCACATTTTATTTTTGTTTTCTAATGTTTACTTATATCCTTGTTTATATGCTTATATTTAATTATAATTTAAAGCTCTAATGAAGGAGGCGTATGCGTACAAAAGTTTTCATATGGGTTTGAAACTACGCTACCGCTAGACCATTGTCTATAAATAAAAATACAATGGCTAGACATAACGTTGCGCCGGCGCCGCCAAAGAAGAAGACGAAAGCAGTCGCGATGGAAATAAATTCGGGAAATCACCGACCGAAAAAAAAATATAAATTTTAAATATAATCGACTATAATGAAGTGCTGAATAAAATTAATATATTGTGCAATCACTTGCAAAAGGTTAATATCAACTTCTGTACAGCTGCTCATATGATTACTGCGGTAACTAAAGATCTCAAATCATTAAAAAGTAAAAAATATTTTGAAAATTTTAAAAAACAGGCTACCATTTTGGCAAATAAATACAATACGTCAACATCATTTTCCACAAAAAGACAAAGAAGAATAATAAAAATTCATGATGAAATCCAGAATGATTACCTACATCAAAATTCTGAAGATAATTTCAAGATATCAGTGTTTTATGGTACTTTAGACATTTTAACTGGTACTCTAGAGAATCGGTTTGAAGACTTCCTTAATATATGCCAAAAATTTAATTGTTTATTAGATATGGACGTCAATGATGACAATTTAAAATGTCTTATGTATCTACAGATATTGTACCAAGCGGATGTTAAACATTCTTTAGTTGAGGAATATAAACTTTTTGCAGTTTATTAGAAGAAATTAATGTTGATGACAACAAACTTGCACCTGACGAATATTTATCATTTTTAATTTCCAACGACCTAGAGTCTTCATATCCATCTTTATGTGCATTAATGAAGATTTTTTACACCATAGCCACCAACAGTGCTGGTGCAGAACAATCTTTCAGTAGATTAGGAAGAATTAATAATTACCAGAGGTGCACCAGCACACAAGATAGAACCAATTATTTATCACTTTTCAGTATTGAAGCAGATACAGTCCAGGATCTAAATATAGACGAAATAATTGATATTTTTAAATCGGTTAAAACAAGACGTTTGCATCTTTGAAATAACTGTTTTGTATACTAACTTTTTTAATAAACAAATTTATAATTAAAAAAAAAATAATTTTTCATGTAGTCTTATTATTTAAAAAAAGTTTGTAATTTATTTGATCCTTTCTTGATCATTGCCCCCCTTAAGGCCTTCGCCCCTCCGCCCTTTTATCCACGACACGCTACTGGTTCCAGGTGTTCTTTAATTTGATAGCTAGGTACTGTAAGCCTTGCAAACTCATTTTAAAAATACGGGCTACAATTTTTTATATTTTTTTCTGTTTAATTAAAAAGTGAAACAAAAGCTCCAAATTCAAACTCGATACCATTTAGTCAGTCTCCTGATTTAGAGTTTTTAATGTCAGATATACAGAACATAATAAGTGATAATAAGTGCAGCTGGCACTAATGTTGTCTCAAAATTACTACGATCTACAGGTACTACTATACAGCATGCATACATACAGGTATACATCTACAGGTATACGATACAGAATATACAGGGTGAGTTTCCTACGATGTTCTCTAAGGGCATCTTGGAAACTACTGGAGATAGAGAGTCGGTTAAATGAGGAAAAAATTGCAGTTTTGTGGGGGCATAAATATGCGCCTTTCAGATTTTTGAAAAAGTTTATAGCTTACTAGATATTAAAAAAAAAACAAATTTTGGCTATTTTAAAAATTGTCCCTAATTCCATTATAATCTATTTTAGACAAAAAGTTTTCAGATAAAAGTTGTAGATAATCACACCCCTAATGTGTTTGTGTTCTCCGATTTTTTCTAAAGCCTGCCATTTTTGATATATGACACAAACATATGTTTTTTTAAATGGAAACCATAGTTGGCCATGACTTCATAAAAAGCGCCATTTTTAAGCTTTTCAGCGACATAAGCTATAAAATGTTTTTTTTTTCACAAAATTACTGAGTTATAACTAATTCTTATCTTTGTTGATTAATTTCACTTAGTTAGCCATGGAGACAAGTTCAATCGTGGTTGCTCTCAGAAATGTGAAACTGTCACATCCAAACTTTGTAAATTAAAATAAACAAAAATTGTAAATATGAATTTTTCAAATAATGAAGAAAAGCATGTAGGATTATTGGTTCAACTTTTCTTGGCCATACAGTTTCGAGGATACATTGACCGGTGAACGTTACTTACGTTTTTTAGTGAACGGTTTTCAAGACTTGTTAGAAAAGTTAAATTTAGATATAGTCTATCCAACGAGAAGATCCTTGACAGTGATAGATGTGTCTGTCATTTTAATTTCAAAGTAGTTTATTTTATTTTACAAAGAAATAAGTTGGTACAACTGGAACGCATAGCAGGAAATATTTAAAATTTGATTGACAAGATGACAAGTGATTACTTCAAAATATTGTGAAAAAAACTGTATAAAACTGAAAAAATGTAATCGAGTTATTTTATTTAATAAAAACGGTATGTGTTAATACAAAACAAACAAGAACAAGACACTATATACCAAAAAATATAAAAAGAACTATTATTTACTTTCAAGCTTTATGAAACTACCCGCATTTTGCAATATTCCACAGGAATAAATAAAACAACATAGGTAAATAAAACAAACTATTTTATTAATAATAACACCTACCAAATTTTATACCTTAAAGGTTGATTAATTAACTTTAATCTTAATTATTTTAAACCAGTACCTTTTGACATTATTTTTCTGCGGTACTAAAATCCATTATTTACCTATCGTGTGATGTCGATATTTTACAGCTACTCCAGTTTTTAGTATGTGTTTAGTTTCATCCTTCTACCATATACGAGATGCACTTACATATCTACGACGAAATGGTATACAAACTTAATCGATGGCAACTTCATTGGTGTATAAAACTTTCTGCCTGGGCAGCGAGTATTAACCATAAACTGTGCTCTGGGTCTACAGTTAATTTTCACTCGATTTTTCCTCCACTTGACTTCAAAAGACACAAAACACACGTAATAATACGAATCAAAATGCATCATCTTCCAAAACGCAGGGTATTTAACAAAAGTTGACACAAAATTATAACATATAATTTATAATTTGGCAAGACTTTGACAAGCGTCAAAAATGACAAAAATCTTAAGGCGAATTCATACGCATCAGCGTCCGTTTGTCGTTCATCGTTCCGTCAAACCAATAAAATTGAAATACGATCTGTCATTTTTTAAATAAACCAATAAAACTGGTTAAAAACAAGACACGACGCATGACGGATTTATATTTAAACCCATCCATAGATAACTTAAAAATTATTAGAAACTTTTTTTAGTAAAATAAATAGATTGGTATGGGACGTCATCTGCTTTTCTTCTGTCATCGTCTGTCGAAATCTTACCTGAGAAAAAAAACAGAGTATACTCGTGCATTAATAGAGTGGTTCCAACATGACTTTCATTATGACACACCACCCCTCTACCCACAATGAAAGAAATGTTAAAAATTATTTATATCATAATTATGTAGACTCAGGAATAGAAAGAGTTGGACCAATTGCATGGGTCCCCTCAATCACTTGACCTATCCATTTTATATTTTTTTTATGCGGTATGGTTAACAACAAGGTTTAAGAAAAGGTAAAAGAACTTACGAATAATAATTAAGATATGCACTCGAAGAGGCGGAACAGGAGAATTTTCGTTAAGTCGACCGGTCGTTCTGTGAAAATAGCTAGAAATTCAATTTTAAAAAGATGCATTTATGTACTCTAAACAATTGCGGATTTTTTGAACATTTTCTAAAATAAGTTAAAGTGTATGTAGTGATATTATTTTTTAAGTTTTAGTTTGTGTAATGTAAATTGTAAAGAGCCTTTAATAATATATTTTGTCTTTTTTTTTATAAGTTATAAATCATAACAAAATAAGAACGCCATGCCAACTAAGTGAAATTAGTCAAGAAAGATAAGAATTGGCTATAACTCAGTAATTGTGTGAAAAAAACATATTATAGCTTATATCGCTGAAAAGCTTAAAAAATGGCGCTTTATATGAAGTCATGGTCAACTATGGTTTCCATTTTAAAAAACATATGTTTGTGTCATATGTCAAAAATGACAGGCTTTAGAAAAAATCGGAGAACACAATCTCATTAGGGATGTGATTATCTACAACTTTTATCTGAAAACTTTTTATCTAAAATAGATTATTAATTAGGATCAATTTTTAAAATAGCCAAAATTTGTTTTTTTTCGAAATATCTAGTAAGCCATGATCTTTTTCAAAAATCTGAAAGGGGCATATTTAGTACCCTACACAACTGCAATTATAAAAATAAAAACTGCCCATTTAACCGACTCTCTATCTCCAGTAGATAACCGACTCTCTATCTCCGAGATACTCATAGAGAACATCGTAAGAAACTCACCCTGTATATATGGATTTTTTTGTTTTAATCTTATAAAAACTCAGAGGGGCATGTCAATAGCTACCGATGTTATTTTGAATTTATTTAGTGATGCAAGTTCATAAATGGAAAATTTTTCAACCATAATTAGAACGTAAAAGAAGGGCAACCATAAAGCACCGATTCAGGCGAAAAGCTCTCGCAAACCGTCGCCGTCGACGTCAACCTTTCCCAAGTTATTCCCCGAAAATCTGGCGGGTTCCCAATTGGTACGGCACCACGCTTCACCCGATCGATCGGATGCGCTTGCAAAACGCCACCGAAACCGGCTGGAAAACGTCTCATTAGCCTCATTTTCTTGGTACTTCCGGCCGGCCGAAGGACACGGGCGACGCGCAAAGGTCGTACCGAGAAGAAAAGCCAATCGAGCGGATCGTTACTGGCAGAAAATCACGACTATAAAACGTTTTCGACAGGTACCAACAGTCAGTTCCACACTCACCGTGCTCTGGATCTCTCTGGAGCGGTTCTAAGGGTACTCGAGAAAATTTTAAAGGAAAAACATGTGTCGTCGGAGATTGGGTAGTTTTCTGTTTCTTTGTGTTTTCGTTTATACGCGACAAGTAAGTAAAAGTGCGCCTTTCTCCCTACATTCAAATAAGGGTAAACTTAATTATAAAAAGCATATAAAATTGCTCAAACCCGAAGGAATTAAACAAAGAAATAATAGTTAAACAAGTTTAAGTTGCATTATAATTTCTCAAATTAATATAAATTCTTCTGCACTCACCGGTACGAAAAACGGACACCTTAAAATTTTGATGTATTTTAAAGTTTAATATACAGGGTATTTCAAAAAACATGTGCCATCTCTCTTGGTAAGATTTCTCACGTAAAAATAAGATTTATTTTTCATATCAGCATAGGAATATGAATTCCTCATATCAGGAATCATGAATTTTTCATATCAGCATAGGTCCGGTTCTGCTTTGTTTCGTAGCTACACGGTATTAAAGTATAATCTTTCGATTTATTATAATTTTCTTCCAAGTAATTTTAGTGATTCGAATGAAATTTTGAGGGTAAAAGTTACTATAAGTGCTACATATTCTAATGCTAAAAAAGTGTCGATAAATTCATCAAGGACGTGTATATGGGTTATTACTGGAATATTTCTCAAAAAAACATTTGCGTCACTGCCTTTTTCTCTTTTGATATCAAAATTGTGTAGGCCGTTTATTGCCAATTAAAAGTAGCTCTTTATATTTTGTCGAATTCGGCCTCCTTGATAAGGTAAAACGTAATTTTATTAATCACAATTAATAAAATGAAAATAAAAATAATAGTTATTTTTTATACAAGACAATAAAATGGTATTTTATCGTCGACCGAAAAGATTAATTCACGAGCGATAACATCGCGAGTGAATTAATTTCGGAAGACGATAATGCAATTTTATCGTCGTGTATAAAACAATATTTTTTTCCATAGCGAGTTACGTTTTAAAAAATATTCAGAAATTATTATTTCAAGGAATTTATTACGAGTAGAAAAAAATATTGTGCTGGCTTTGCGTTGCGATGTATGTAATTTGACAAATAAATAAAGCTGTCTCTTTAGTTGTCAGTTTTGAGTCAATATTTTTTAATTCTCTTTCGTGTCGATTGCTGACTGAATTGGAGCCAGAAATGGCTCAAAACGAAATATTTAAATTACCAACAGATATTCAGGCTGAGGCGACAAACGCCATATCCAAACTACTTCCATTTAAATCCTGAATAACTTATGAAAAGTAATACAAAAATGTTCAAAAATAGAAACAATTAAAAAACGTGCGAGAAGAAATAAAATTTTTAATCTATCCTCGCTGTTGAAGTATCATTTAATCTACCCGTGCGGTTAAAGTACTATTTTATCTACTATTTTTGATAGATATACCGTATGATCGAATAAAACGGCGTCCATTTGGCTTGGAAATGACGATCGATGACATTTCCCATATAAATTTACATATAAAATGACAGCGATCTTCATTTCATAGCCATCGCTGACGCCGTTTTTATTCGATCATACGGTATAAGGCAATTTTAACAGTTGCTATGGAAAAAAAATAATAAATTATATATTTTACCTAATTTATTATTAAATATTATTACTATTAGTTATTATTAGTAGGTACTATTAGCCAACCTACAGCAATTTCAAATAAAAAAAAATGGTATTTAAGACAATTACAAAAACCCTAATTTTAAAAAGTTTTAACATACTGTAACTCTAAAACTATGCATTCCATACCCATGTTTTTAAAGAAACATTTTTCATATTTTTTCATGAGGAATCAATTAGTATTAGTACCTATTTAAAACTTTCGCAAGTTAATGATATTAAGTTTTGTTAAAGGTTGTTGAGACTTGGATCAAGGCATATTAATAAAATTGCGTTTATCTCATCAAGGAGGGCGAAATCAACAAACTATCAAGAGACAACTTTTAATCGTTATTATACTGCTTACACTATTTCGCTAACAAGAAAAAAAGTGAGTGGCATACATGCTTTTTTTAGAAAAATATTTCAGTGATAACCCATATGCACGTCCCTGGTGAATATGTCGACACTTTTTTAGCTTTAAAATATGTCGCAAAATTTCATTCAAAACGCTAAAAGCACTTGGAAGAAAATTATAATAAATCGAAAAAATAATAAGACTTTAACACCCTCTAGCTACGAAAGAAAGCAGAATCGGACCTATGTTGATATGAAAAATAAATCTTATTTTTACGTGAGGAATCTCTCCACGAGAGATTGCACATATTTTTTGAAACACCCTGTATAGGTGACCAAATTCAGTTCAATCATTTAAAACTCATATGTATGTCTCAGGCCTTTGTGGCGGTTCATTTCTTGAAAATCGCCTATAGGTATTTTGATATTGTAGAGAAATGTAAAAATTCACAGATTTTGCAACATGCGCAACCATCATAGGCGCATTGAAAATACCAGACACAAAAGTCGGCGGTGGTCAGCAATCACCTGTTTTTTACATTTTATATTAACTTGTGACGTCATTTGGAAGAGCTCAATAGAAATATAAAAGAACTAAAGCTTGTTTGGAAAGCAATTTGACATTCGTGACGTCAGCACTCCGGCAGTCTAACGTATCGCTAATTGCCATTCGCAAATATATTCCAGATACGTATAGTGATATTGTATTAGTATTTTGATATTTGATTTTTATCGTGATGGCTTTTTATAAAAGTGAAGAATTTTGTAAGAAAAATATTAATGATGGAGATGAACGTGTACGGATTCATGAATGGTCACGATCACGGTCACGACACTATAGAAATGTGAGGTATGTATGTATATATATATATACATAGAATTAATGGCATTAATTTGCAATAGCACCTCGAACCCACAGTTTCATTATGGAGCCAGATTAAACCAATCAGAATGAGTATTATGTTACCGTAAAAGCCCGAATATTGGTTAAACGTAGGGTTACCCACGTAGGAGCCCAAAATATGCAAAAAAAGTCACTTTAGGTTAAGTTTAGATTAGGCCTATATTTTTATTAATGCAAAACCAACTAAAACCTAATTCTAATCTAACCTAAACTCACTCTCTTTTTTGCATATTTCGGGCTATTACCTGGGTATTTCTAGGTTTAACCAATATTCGAACTTACGGTGTAAATTTATGGACGGTCCATAAATTTAAATTCGCCGTACAAAAAATAAGTAATAGTTACTGTAGATAAAAATAAATTAAAATATAGTTCCACGATAACTTAGTTTGCAGCTTCTTTTCATCATACCTAGTAAAAACCCGTCACAACCACTACTCATAGTATGTATACCTATGTATTTTTAAACATCATTATGAGATTTAAGTCATAGGTACCCATAATATGAGTAGCGGTATTGACGATTTTTTGTTATGATGTAAATGTTGTGTGATATAAAAAGCAACAAAATATTGTTACGTTTTTTCGTCGGTTCCGTGTGGATAGAAAGTCACAATTTATTTAAACACTATTTATTTAACACTAATTAACAAAAACAATAACGATAAAAGACTTATAGAACTATTTACAAACGATTTATAACTAAGAATTTATTTTGAATTTTCGCGCGTCAACTGCACTGGTATATTTATAACTGCCCTCTCTAGGCCACTGCCGCCGGCTTTTATACCGACAGGTAAAAGAAATCTAGAATAGTCCAAAGATCGTTAGGCGCATAGAGAAGGTTTTCGAATGTTCTCGTATGTACGAGTCCATTCTAGTGGGTCTCGATGTTTCTCGAACGAATGAATCATTGCGGTGTCTATGCGATGTTAAGGTCATCCGAGGGCGGGCCATATTGTGAGGTTAGGTCGAGTCCACACCGGCTCGCAACACTGCCCCCTTCTTAGGCACATGCTCGTCCCGAGATGTATACGGTGAATGAAGGTATTTGCAAAGCTGGCCCCTGGTACATTGCGAAGTCTGGTAGAAATAGCAGTCTACAGTTTTCTCTCCCGATCTCAGCTTTGGGTTGTAGCAGCAAACGAGGATCTCGATTCCCGTAAATCTGAACAAGACTTCAATCATGTTCCGGATTGTACGCCAACTCAAACCATCGAGTCCACACGCCAGCTTCGGAATGGCTAATCGTGCAATGTTGTTGTTTAGCAGGGCTTCTCTCAGTTCAATCAGGGTCTTCCATAGATTGAGATAAGTCGGCTTACTCGGGGACCATTCCTTGGTGACCAGGTAGAAGATGTGCCTTGCTTGACCATGTGCATTGTCGGTTAGCCTCAAGACGCTTCCAACCTCTGGATCCTGTCGGCGTAGTTCTCCGACACGCCCAAACTTCTCATTGAACGTCGCAGCGATTCCTCTGGACATCCGCAAATCTCGAGCCACACAATGAGCGAGCGAATAATCAGGAGGCACGGAAAAGAGGTCTCGTTGATCTTCTTTGGTTACACCATAGCGAGCCTTCTCACTGCTGTTGTATCGGGCCATGAAATCGTCAAAGGACATCTCCGAATCAGGGGGATCAAAGCTGCAGGTTCTCACGGTCCCAGCACGATCTTCTATTTCGCCTTGGTAGGGGCTCAAACGGTTGAAATGGACTACCCTCGGTTTTCCTTTTGGCAATTTTCTGATACGGTATACGACGTCATTAATTCTATCCATGACTTCGTATGGCCCTTCCCACGAGGATTGTAGCTTCGGAGATAACCCACGACGTCTCTGCGGGTTATATAGCCACACCAACTTCCCTGGTTGGTATCCTCCATGCTCAGCTTGAATGTCGTAGTGTTCCTTCATTCGGTCACTAGCACTTTGAATATTTAGGCGGACTCTCTGATGAATGTCGTCCATCCTTTGACGTAGTGTGTGGACATAATCTTCTCCGCGACTTCTTCTCCCGGTCGGCAACCAAATTTCAGATCACAAGGTAGGCGCACTTCCCGTCCCATAACGATGCTGGCTGGAGTTTGCCCTGTAGATTCTTGGATGGATGAACGGTAGGTCAACAGGAACAGGTGAAGAAATTTGTCCCAGTCTCTTTGGTGGTCAGAGACTATTTTGGCCAGATAACGGTTGATAGTTCTGTTCATGCGTTCAACC